GGAGGGCAAAGAGATTCCACTTTGGCGGGAACCCATGCTGGGTTCTGGAGGAGACACTGGGTAGGGAATAGGGGAGGGCTGGGACAGAGAGAGAGATGAGAGCAAAAGTAAAAAAAAAAAAAAAAAGCTTCTCTGAGTCCTCTGGCAGAATTTGTCAAGATCTCAAAGGGTATTGAAACCAAAGTTTCTATTCTCAGGCCACTGAGAGTTGTTATTTAGTTGGTATTGTGGCCACTTGGTTACTGTAAAAGATTAGTCTTTTGGGGCAGAGATCTTTAGCTAGACCCCAGTTTGAAAGATTTGAGAGAAGGCAGCCCAAGGGACTGTCCTTTGGAGGCCTAGACATTTGGCTACCTTTGGTGTTCAGATCTGTGGGTGAGGCAACCAAGATTTCAGGGTGTCCCCTGGAAACTGGGAGTCTCAGATGCAGAGAGAGGTTATAAATAGTGTGGGTGTCTCCAAGCACAATCAATATCCTGGGAAGAAATGCCTTGTCTTTCTTGGGTGGACTTGATGCAGATATGCAATTTTGGGGTATGCACAGACAGAAGTACAGTGTGGACAGATCTGGATTCCCAAGGGAGTTAAAAATGTCTGGATTGGAAGGCTGAGACACGTGCAGTGAAGGCTAGAATGCCTGGAAGTCAACTGGGTCTAGCTCTAGGAGCCTCCAGGAAAAGGGAGGTGGGGAATACAGAGATCAGAAAGACAAAAGGGGCAGAGATTATCTAGTCAGCAGCAGCCACACACAGAACAGGAGAGGAGGAGAAAAAGGGACTTTACTTACTGTTCAAGCCTCTTGACACTGTGTGAGCTGGTTCAAGAGAGAGTAAGCGCACGCCTACACTCATCCTGAGGCAGGAGCACGTCACCCCTTAACTCATCTCCCAGGTTTCGTGCCAACTAGATGTTAGGTTAGTAGACTTAAAGAAATAAGAGAGAGCAAGAGAAAAAAAATTAAAAGCAGCTTTATTAGGGGGCCTCCCAGGCAAGACTGAGGGAGTCACACTTTCAATGTATGGGAGAGTGTTTTTATAACAAGGTTTTCAGGGAGGAAAGGGACATTCCATTGTGATGTATGGCTTATCCATTAGTTTGGCCAGGTAGGTGGGGCCATTGACATCTTCTTGTTGATGTGTATATTCTTTGAATTCTTCATTCTCCCACTTGACCCCTCTACTCGAACCTAACACTCATCATCTCTAATATACTTGAGCTGATTGTTAAAGTGACTGTGTCAGTCCATCTCGTTAAAGGTCTTCCTCTCTTAGTGACCATCTTTTCTAGCGTGATGTCCTTTTACAAGGAACAGCCACTACTAACCTGTCCAAAGTATATGAGACAAATTTTTACCATCCTTGCCTCCTAAGAGCACCCTGGCTACGCTGTCTTCAAGACAAATCTGTTTGTTCTCTTACAAGTCCATGGGATATTCGTACTCTTCTCCAACACAACTCAAAGGCATCAATTTTTCTGTCATTCTTAATTATTGTCCAACTTTCCGATACATAACAAATGAAAAGACTATGCTTTCAATCAGATTTAGTCCTTAAACTAACATAACTGGTTTTTAATACTGTAAAGAGATCCTTGACAACAGATTTAACCCAATGCAATATATCTTTTGATTTCTTGATTGCAAATGCCAAGGGTGTTGATTGCAGATCCAGCAAGATTAAGTCATGGAAAACTTCAGTCTTTTCTCCATCTATCATGATGTTGCTTATTGGCGCAGTGATGAGGAGTTTTGTCTTCATGATGTTGAGAAGTAATCCATATTGAAGTCTATAGTCTTTTATCTTCTGCAGCAAGCATTTCAAGTCTTTCTCACTTTTAACAAGCAACATTGCATGAAGCAGCTTGTTGAATCTTCCAATCCTGATGCCACCCTCTTTTTCATAAAGGTCAGCCTCTCAAATTATTTTGCTGTTTTGTGTGTTTTTTTTTTAATGTGGATTGAATGTGGAGAAAGGATACAGCCCTACCTCACATGTTTCTTGATTTTAAACCACACAGTTTCCCTTTCTCTGTTTGCACAACCACCTCTTAATCTAGGTGTATTGCCTTTTGATCTAGTTATAGCTTTCACATGAGCACAATTATATGTTCTGGGATTCCCAGTCTTCTCAATGTAGGCCAAAATTGGTTAAAACCACACAATCAAGTACCTTTGCATAATCAATAAAGCACAAAGACATGCTTCTAGTATTCTGTGCTTTCAGCCAGGATCCATCTGGCACCAGCAATGAGATCTCTGCTGCCACACCTGGGTTGAATTTCTGGAAGTTCTCTGTGGATGGCACTGTTCCAGCCATTTTTGGATGACCTTCAGCAAGATTTTACATGCATGTGATAATACATATATTGTTTAATAGTTTCCATATTCTATAGAGATCACCTTTGGGGGAATGGGAACAAATATGTATCTCTTCCAGTCAGTTTGCCAGGTAGCTGTCTTCAGTATTCCTTGGCATATGCTGGTGGGCACATCCAAGGACAAACAATAGCAAAATGAATTTTTTAAAAACAAGAGCAAAAGGAGTCAATTACTCTCTCAAAGAGAAGGATCAGTTGCTAAAGATTGAAAAAACACACAAGATCTTAAGAAGAAAGCTTGGGCACACTACCAATTTTAGACATTTTAAAACACAGAAGGGTCCCAGCTCTCCTCTGGCTCAATGTCAAGAAACGTGACTCCATTTTTTTTTCCCTTTTTTTTTTTTAAATTTTTTTTCTATAATTATATTTTATTAATTTTCATAAACATTTACAGAGATTTTGGGCTTCCACTCATTCATTGTTGCACTATTCTCTCTACCCTCCTCCCAGCTTGTTCTTGTCCAAATGCCACAGTGCTTGTCAAAGCCAGTTCTGATTAATCTTCTTTGTCAGTGTATCCTTTGCCATTCCCTATCACTCCTCCCTGAGAGAGACTTCACCGTGAGTCATAAGGAAAAGGGGACGGTGTATTCTCTTAGCTACTTCCTGCTGAAAAGGGACACTGTGGGTTTCAGGGTGAAGATCTTCTCTCACTACTCTAAAGGGCCCCTTTGGCAGTAGGAAACACATAGACTATTATGGAGATTGATTTTGGAATTCAGATGCACTCTTATTGATTGTGCTTGGCTGTACATGTACATATCCTTCAAGATGTATCATGGGGGTGTTGCAACCTAGAAGACACAAATTTGACTAACAAGTTATAAGTACATAAGTCCAAAAATTATGGAAAAGTAAAAGAAAAGTTTCTTTCATTGTTTTACAAACACTCCCCCAGGTCCCCTCCACCATGCAGCCCTCGCACTAGTCTCCTGTGATGACAGAAATACCCAGTTACATCTCTCTTTTAGACGGTTCTCTCCCTCCTCTGTTTCAGTGCAGTATACATTATTGAACCCATCTTATTCATTCTCTCCCCAACCCCAAGGACAGTCCCATTCTACAACAGTGGCATCATGTAATATTTGTCCTTTTGTGACTGGGATATTTCACTCAGCATAATGTTCTCCAGAGTCAACCATTTTGAATAATATTGCATGAGTTCCTTGTTTTTTAATGCAGCATAGTATTCCATTGTGCGAATATACCACAGCTTCTCTAGCCATTCGTTTGTTGATGGGCACTTAGGTTGTTTCCAACTCCTTGCTATTGTGAACAAAGCTGCAATAAACATGGGTGTGCATATATCTGCTTGGATGTCAGCTATGGTCTCTTCAGGGTATATTCCCAGTAGTGGAATTGCTGGGTCAAATGGTATCTTTATTTGCAACTTTTTGAGAAAGCGCCATACTGCTTTCCACAGGGGTTGCACCATTTTACACTCCCACCAACAGTGAATCAGGGTTCCAGTTTCTCCACAACCTCGCCAGCATTTGTTGCTTGCTGTTCTGTTAAATTTTGCTATTTTGACTGGGGTGAAATGATATCTCATAGTTGTTTTAATTTGCATCTCTCTTAGGGCTAGGGATTTTGAGCATTTCTTCATGTGTTTGTTAGCCATCTGAATGTCGTCTTCGGTGAAGTGCCTGTTCATATCCTGTGCCCATTTTTCTATTGGATTATTTACCTTTATCTTGTTGTGGTGAAGAAACGTGACTCCATTGAACATTGACTAGTCTATCCTGAGCAAAGAGGAATACTATATTTTTTTGCCCTTGAAGAATTTATGGATTAACATCTATTAATAAGTGAGGATTCTTTCTCTTATAGTTTATGAAACCGACTTTAGATTCAAATGTGCTCACTACTGCTTCCTCTGCCTGATGTCATTTGCAAAGTCTTTGTCTCTGGTTGCAGTGTGACTGCCTCTTGCTAAGCCTGCTTCCTTGGAGACTACCTTAGAGACCACCACAGAAGTGGAAGTTTCCCCTCCCAAGTTCTGAAGACTAAGAGTGGATTCTTTTTGGGTCTGCTTGAGTGTTAGGCTCCTTTAAACAAATCCCTAGGACTGGGAAGGATGTAAATCCCATGACTTACCCTGGTATCCTCAGCCGACTGAAAGTTTTGAACAAAATACCAATGATGTTAGGTAGGGTTAAGGCCTAGTTACCAGCCAAGAAAGTGGTATCAGAGGCTGACTTTGAAGTATGCATAGAGTGCTGACCTGGAAATGGTTAGATGAGGCAGTCACTTTGACAAATCTAAGAAAGTTGAATTAGTGAAGGAAATGGAAGTATTTGGATTATCAGCTTAATGTCACAGAGGCCTGAGTTTAAATCCCTGTGTTACCATTTGCATCCCAGAAGCAGTTTCTTTCTCTGTGAGGCAGGGGTAGCAATACCTCACAGGGTCTTCTGAAGATGGCATGATGCTATGTGTAGTGACATAGCAGACATCTGGCAGACAGTGGATTACTTCTTATTACTTCATAGCTGTCATTTCTGCTGGGGGGACCTGGTGGCTGTATCATTGCAGATTTCTGCTCTTCATCTAGCAGTGAGTGGTATGACCATACCCACCCAACCAGCCCAGTGGCATGTTCCCCTGTTCTCTCCCCACAGGGGCGAGAAGTATGGCTTCATCACCTACAGGTGTTCTGAGCATGCTGCTCTCTCTCTGAGAAACGGCTCTGCCCTGAGGAAACGCAATGAGCCCTCCTTCCAGCTGAGCTACGGAGGGCTCCGCCACTTCTGTTGGCCCAGATACACTGACTATGGTAAGTAAGTACATGAGGCCTTGCTACCTACCACCCAGCAACACACAAAGCATGAGGGGTAACAACTTTGTTGATCTAGCCCAGCCTTTCTTCACATGGTTCCCATACCCCAGCCTCAAATGTGCTGACTGATATGATTTTGCCTGAAAGGTACTGTCTTATTTTCCTTCTGGCCTCTAGTTCATCTTATGCCCTCTCAGCATTGATACCAAAGAGAAGACTAGACCTGTTGGAAGGATGAGTCTTAGATTCCCACTAGTTGACACACTGTGGCTACTATATTTTTGGCCTCCAAGGACCAGCTGCCACCCCACCTCCTTGAGAAGGCACTTTGTGGTGGACACCCCACTCATCAGGACAAACTTTTCCTTTGGTGAACCACCCTGAAACAATACTACCATCATGGCCTTGCATTGGAATGAGTTAGAAAAGAAAGACAAAGAAGTAAAATTTAGGGAAGAATTACTTAGTGGAGTGTGGGGACAGTCTAGTATATACTCCATAGTACAGGAGACCTGCGTGAACTCTAGACCAGGCATTGCCCCAACTGTGTCTCTCATATACAATGAAGGCATTGTAGTTTTGTTGGCTCCCTTTATGTGGTTTACACAACAGAACTAATGGGAGAGAAGCAAGGGAGGTAAGGTTACAGGGTGTCAGCACCAGAGTAGAGTTGTGAGGGGCTCTAGTTCAGACTCATTTCTCTCTGCAAATGGGGCTGCTGAGACCACACTCTCGGAGCCCGTGCGTCCCCTCCCCCATAGGGCTGACTGACCTCAGTTGCTCGCACCTTCTCCTCACTGACTCCTACACACCCCTCCAGATTCCAATTCAGAAGAGGCCCTTCCTATGTCAGTGAAAAACAAGTACGAAGCCATGGATTTTGACAGCTTATTGAAGGAGGCCCAGCAGAGCCTGCATTGATAACAGCCTTAACCTTCGAGGAATACCTCAATACCTCAGACAAGGCCCTTCCAATATGTTTACGTTTTCAAAGAAATTAAGTATATGAAAAAGGAGAGCGAGCGAGCGCGCGAGAGAACACACGTGAGAAAGAGACTTGAACTGCTGTCCCTTTAAAAAAAAAATCAATGTTTACATTGAACAAAGCTGCTTCTGTCTGTGAGTTTCCATGGTGTTGACGTTCCACTGCCACATTAGTGTCCTCGCTTCCGATGGGTTGTCCTGGGTGCCCCTCTAAGTGCTGGGTCGGTCACCCGTCCCCTCTTCCACCCCACTAACTCCCCTTCGTAGACTTGCAGCCGTGTTCACCATAACATTTCTGTCTGTAGTGTGTGATGATGAAATCGTTACTTGTGAATAGAATCAGGATTATAAATCATTTTTAATTGAAGAAAAAAGTATATCCTTAAAATAATGTATTTATGGCTCAGATGTCTGTGCCTGGGATTATTGTATTGCTTCCTTGATTTCTTAACTATGCACTGTCGTGAGGTGTTTGCCACTGAGCTGCTCTGCTCCACTCGCCAGACTGCCCTGGAGATGGAGGCTGGTCCCCAGGGCAGGCATGGCTGACAGCCACACTTGGGAGCCATGGAGAGAGGTTTCCCAGCTGGTTCCACTCAACAGACCCATGCCGAGCTCTGCCCTTCCTCTTACGGAGCAAGTTCAAGTCAAATTATCATCAGAGTTGACCTCCTGTGTCCAACTCACTTGTACAGAGTGTGTTTTTTTGCAGACTGTGGGGTACCTTGGAAGGATGGCAGGGTGAGCTGTGTTGCTCTGGTTTTTCGGGTTTGGAAGGTGGTGTACCCAAAGGGGAAATGATTTGCCTGAGGTCCCACAGCAAAGGATAGAGAACAGCACTGACCCAGGCCCAATCTTCTCATGCCTGATGCTTCTGCCATTTTTAGGCAAAGATGCAAAGTTTGGGGGTTAAGGCAACAGCTGACCCTAGAGTAGTGTGTGCCCTGGGCTCAGCTCGGCTTTGATCTTGATTGGTGCTTTGATTCTCCTGAGCCTATGGGTGTGCCACCAAAGCTTGCATGGCACACCTGGCAGGGGTACAGTCTGAGAGCAACTGACCTTTTTGAACCTGCCACCCATCTGTTATCTTCTCCTTTCCTCATCTGTAAAACTAGGGAAAGAGTGACCCACAGGGGAAGCCAGGATATGAGGGTTGGGGATGGAAAGCTAACTCCAGGCTCCCTTCTAATTTGGAAGGTATCCTAACTGGGCTTGACATTCAGCTACATGTTTGTGAATGATGTCTTACATGTCCAGGCTAGGTGATCTGCAGGTACCTGTAGAGAGTGTGAAAGAGAGTCCGGTGGGATGTGAGGGCCTCGTGGATTCTGCCTCACACAGGGAAGCTCCTTCCTTTCTCCCTCAGATGCCAGAGGTCCTTGGGAAGATTTTGAATTAAAAGGGGAAAAGGTCCTACTGCTTGAAAAAAGTTTGAAAGTAATTCACTCATTAAATCAAACAAGCTCATTTAATCTGTTGCAAATGCAGGCCTGATCCTTTAAAGAATTATTGCAGCTTCTTGAAAAAAAATAAAAAATCAGTACCTCATGGTGAGCTAGACTGATGATCTTGTCTTGGATGATGAACATACTCAATGTAGAAAGCCTTAGGAGGATTAGGGAATTTTGATTTTGTATGTGAAATCCCCTGACCACTCTGAGCCTCAGTTTTCTTTAAGGAGCCAGTAAGCAGCTTGATTTCTAAGGTCCCTGCCTTTCAGCTTTAAGAGTGTTAGCTGCTGATTCTTAGGTGGCATCTAGCTCAGGATGCAGACACATGTCCTCTGTGCCATTTCTTCCACGTCTTGGCCAGTGACAGACATCACAGATCAAACCATTCATCTTTCTTGAGTCTCAAGGCAGCAGCCATTATTTAGGATCAGAGTTTAACCTGTTCAGCTTCTAAGTCTTGAAAAGGTTTTCCATGCACAAAACCATATTCTCGCTGGGTTTTGTCAGTCCACAAGTCTGACTCATCCATGCCAGCCATGTCCTGATCTATGAGAAAAAGCTCCCTCAGTTCCATTCTTTGCACAAGAGTCCCAGGACTGCTGTCATATACTTCTGTGGTGAGAATGGAAGAGTGAGGGAGAAGCAGCAGACACGGGCATATATGGGGAAAGCAGGACATGGAAGGATAGACCAAAAAGGAACTAGAGACATAAGCATTCTCCCCTTATTCACTGTTAATAGAATGATGTAGAAAAGAATGCAAATCTTTCTGCTTTCTCTCAATCCTAATTTGAAATCCAGAGAAAGCTGAGATTAAACTCCATAGAAACCTATAAGAAAAGGAAAGGCCAAACTCTTCCCTCCCTTCTGGATCAACTAAAGTTTCCTTCTAAATTCAGAATAACACAGGGCACTCGAAGTTACTTAGGTATTGGCCCTTGCACAGAACAGAAGACCCGACTGTGGCATTGGGGCACGATGGATTCAGTGTCCTGTCTGGGGCCTCTGAGGGGAAAGGATACCACCAAGGTCATCCCATAGTTTCTTTTTGCCATTCCATCCATAAAAGGTTATGAGTTCTCAAATTGACCTATCCCGCAGACAGCCTCTATTTGGAAGACTCATTCGGTGCTGTGTGTTATTTAGCAAGGGGACTCCATGGTCTCCCAGGAAAATCAGGCAACCTTGGTCTCTTTCCCACCAAAATTGAAGGGCAACCCCGAGGGAGCAGCTAGCTGCCTTTGGCAACCATCTCATTGTAGCTCTGTCCTAGAACTTGCTCTCGATGATGTTTACATGTGACTGCCATCAAAGCTTACTGTAGACTGTGTCTGTCGATAGCCGCCCATGCCGGGCAGGTCGTACTGTCCATCTCTGTGCCGTGCTGGTGTTTTCCAAAACCGTCTAAGCCAACCGCCAAGTGGAATTCTTCCATCTCCTTCCTCAGTCAATACAAGGCTGAATCAGAATCCTCACTCTTGGGGGCTCTGGTTACCGAAGGAAAATGCATCAAAGAGGTAAAGAACATGAGTGGATGGAGTGTAGCTAAGGCCCTCTACACCCTTTACCCTGCCACATCTTGCACCCTTCAGCCAAAAAAGCCACTTCTTTCCAGTCTGACTCACTTTGAAATCTTGCAGCATCGTGTATCATAGGGCTCAGGAGACATAGAAGGCTCTGGGACGGAGAATGTTCTACGTTGCAAAGGCTTAGGACTCAAGTCTTGATGGGAAGAAAAGCCTTGCCTTGTCTCAAGCCTACGCTTTCTCATTTTTGAGAGCGATTTCTCCTGGGCCTATGTAATGTACATGTTGAGAGAATTGTGCAGATGCTGGGTGGAGGGTCCCAGGAGGGGCATTAGTAGTCAAGTGTGTGGCCTCGTCCAGGCCTGGGCCCAGCTGCAATCTCAGCTGAACCTGTAGCCTGAGAAGTGGGCCATTCCGACTGTGATGCAGAATCAACCCCAGACGACTTGCTGATCTGATTTACTGTACTTAGAATTGCAGTATTTGCCTTCATATCTGAGATTTAGCACCTGCCCTCACTTTGAGGAAACCCATCCCAGCATCAGTTATGACCAAAGAAAGGAATTGATGTGCAGGAGCAAATGCGGTAAATCTGAGTAATGCATGTGCTTAATGCACTCAGCTGCTGACCTAAAGGTTGGAGCTTTGAGTTCAGCCAGAGGCAGCTCAGAAGAAAAGCCCGACAATCTACTTCCAGAAATATAGCCATTGAAAACCCTGTGGAGTACAGTTCTACCTGACATCCATGGGGTCACCATTATTTGCAGTTGATTGAAGTTCAACTGGTCTTTTGATGGTTTCTTGAAAAGTGACCTCTTGGACCCTTCCCACCCTGGGCAGGGGGAACAGATTAGTACTTAATGTGCAATATGTTAAAACAGGTTCCCAAATCTCCAAGGTATTTGCACATATGTGGGCTCCAGGGCAGACAGGGTAGGAGTAGGAAAAGCTTAAAGCTTGGGAGGTGGGAGATCTATGTGCACAGAAATGCACTCAGCCCAACAGCCAGTGGGTAAGGGAGCCTCCATGGGACACCCGGGAAGTAGATAGAGGCAAACTTTACATTGAACTAATGAAAACGCTTTGAAAATGCATACCACCTCAGCCTGGCTCCGTGTCCCTACCCTAACAGATATGGGTCTCCTAGGGATCAGGACAGTGTGCCAGGCAAGAGGCTGTTGTGAGGGAATAGGAGTCTCCAAGACGGCAGCAGCAGGAAAGCTGATCCTGAAGCCCCCAGGTGATCTCTTTGCTGAGAACTCTAAACACGTTTTAGATTCTGGTATGCACTTTTATTAAAATAAAGAGCAACCCAGCCAACTGGATTGTATTTGTAGGGCAAATTGTTTAACTCTAAGCCATTTCAGAGTGAGAAACCCTGTTGCAAAGGGTCTTATTTCTTATAAGTTGTGTGACCTTGGGCCTCTGTTTCCTCATCTAACAAATTTGGAGATAGCTAACGTCCCTTCCACCTCTGATGGGCATCCTGGGGCTTCAGGAAGCCATCACTAGCCTGTTAAGCCCATTTCACACTCCAGTTGGGCCCATCTCTTGTTTGGAGTGAGGTCTACAAGGAAACAAATTGCAGCCGCTTCCAACGCACATGCTTTTGGCCAAGTTACCTTCTAGGTGAGGGGCCATCTCCCCAGAGCGATCTAAGCCATAGTCTTCAGTAAGGATGGTGAGGGTTCTACCCCAGCGCAGCTCGGTGGCGATGTGAATCTCATGTTAGCCTTGTCACCATCCTTCCCGAACAGCTTTTAATGTGAATGTTGTGACCACTTGGCTGTATCTCTCTTGCTCTCAGACAAGACTAGCAATACACTTGTTGTTTGTTTGGTTGTGTGTTTTTTTGGTTGTTTTTTTTTAAAAAAAAAAAAAACAGCTTAACTTAGGAACTTTTCACACATTTCTTTCAAATGACTGTAACACATATGGGGCAACAGGAGGCATGGATCAC